GAGTGGAAATTAATGTACCTATACCAATGGATTATATTAATCCTTGAGCATTTGAGTACAGAGAAGCTACATTCACATGTTACGTATAAAAGTGTACATAGATTTTAGTTGTTAGTTGGAATTAATCAGCATCTATTCTATATTTAACTCTGTTTCATCTAGATTTTAGGATGTGGGTGTGGGTGAAACAAAGACCTACGCCTTTTCGCACAATCATTCTTTACTTCTCACTGCGTATGAAGACCTTGCTGATATTGTCCCTCAGCAAAATGGCTACGAAGATAGCGTGCAATGGCACCAAAAATTAGTGGACTTCGAAGAGCGAATGCCATCAATCGATAGTGTCAAAGAAAATGAGACAATCAGATTTACGTATCGTGGTGATTTGAAGATTGCATTATTTTCAATCAACATGGTTACGTTTTCATAAATTATTAGGTTTTCATAGAATATCAGCTTTATCTAATGGGGTCGAAAAACTAGCTGCCTAACGAAGTCAATGTTTGCGGAAGAACATACTTGTGCGAGCTGAAATTTTTAGAAAACTTTAGTAGCTTTGATACTTCCTTTTGGGTAGAATTTCAGCTAAAAATTCTTTAATAGGTTATTTTCAAAAATTTCAGTCGCACATGAAAAGAGAATGGTTTATGCTTTACTTGTAAAGCTATCGCAACTGCTAATCAATCATTGTGGATTCTTTCCAGCCTCATCGAACTCTGTCTGCAAATAAACTTTGAAAATCGTTTGCAAAAATTCCCTGATGAGACTGTTTTACTAGATCTTATAAAATCGATTGACAACTTGTATTAAATTAAAGCAGTTTTATGACTGAAGTGTTTAATCAAGAAGGAAAACACAGATCTATGCATCAGAATACGTACTGTTACACAACCAAAATAATCTGGCTCATGAAACATGCAGAAAAAGCATCCGTTCGTGATGAAGATCTGTTCCATATTTATATTCATCGTAGCACGTCATCAAGAAAGATGATTATGTTATTCGTTAGTGAAAGTTTTGCTGTAAATTTTCTCTATTTACATAATTCTTCCAGCATCTTTTGCTTCCGAACGTCATGATATATCCTGTATTTTATGCAAGTGTATTTCGATTTTTTGTTCATGCGTCACGGACCCTTACTTGATATGTAACAATTCAAAATCACAACCAACGTAGCCAAAAACCTTACATGATATGAAAATAATTGAGCATCATCTATGGTCAAATTTTCAGATTTTATCTTGGTATTCATGAATAATTGAGTCGATTTGTTAAAACATGTCTTTGCGTCAAATTTGGTTAAATCGACATAGTTTTACCTAAATTGCATTTCAGGAGCTGCGGATTAACCTACACAGCGAGTAAACCACAAAACATAGTTTTCTATGATTCTTCAAGCATTGTCTGGTTTTTAATAGGGGAAATACTAGTATCAAAATAGTTTCATCAGAAACAATTTTGCTTACAACTATGAAGTAACTGATATTGCCAAATAGAATATATCTTTTAATCTTAAACAACGCATATGAATTTAGTCTGTTTTAGAAACGGCATTGTTGGAAATCACTCAACGTAATCCGCATAGTGGAACACGAAATAAGCGGTCACGGTTACTCATGTGTGGATGTGTGCTTCTTCTTCCTATTGTGGTTGGAATTGTGATAATTTCTACCGTTGGTATGATTGTTCAAAAATCAAGCACCCGAAGATCGACAACCTTAACAGAACGCAGTAAGCAATGTGTAAACTCAACGCAACCGTAAACCATCCATTCACAACTATCATTATTGCTCGAGCAAGGTTGAGCAGCACGAGGGATTTTCCTCCTAAAAATGCTCATAGCTCTTTTATGTCTGGTATAATTCAGGCATTGTTTCTTCATACGAGCACAAGTTACACGTCCGAAATCTATCCAATTTTATGCATTCTTGTTAAAATAATGCGTCAAGTTTGTGTTCCCATCTTTTTCTGCTTGCTCAAATTAGTAATACTTACAAGAAAAGTGATCTCAAAATGTTTCCGAAAGTATATCCAAAATCATGTTTATTTTTAGTAATTAAGCAGCCTTGCAACGCAGCTAGGACTACTACCATCTATTTCGATTCACCTGAAACACATTTTGGGTTTGGGTGTAGGTGTAGGTGTGGGTGGGTGAGGGTATGTGGGCGTAGCCTGAGTCTTCTCTTTACATCCACCCACATCCACATCCACACCCAACTATTTACGTGTCCTCTATCTGCCTTGATCAACAATTGCTTAATATGCAGACAGACTTCTAGACCACCAAATGATGCATCAATGCACTTTAAATTCAATTATTAACTGTATATGCCATGTTTCAAAGACATCATATATCTTTTTTATATTTTGATACTATTCAAGCTTTGGGAGACATTGAAGTTAATGCGATCTTAATAATATTGATATATTTAAGAAAGGTTCTTGAAGCCTGATATTAAAATACTGAGTTGATTATATAAAAAAATTAATCAAACTATCCCAATGGTTCTATATACTCAAACAATGACTACTACTGTAAAAATCGAATATCTTCCTCTAGACAAGCCAAGCGCAGCCTATATTTTAACCTCGTTAGTTTGACGATGAGAGCTTTAATTTAACTCGAATACATCCCATTTTTCTCACAGACAGTGCAAACACCTCCATTGTCAGTTTTGCATGCATCAGTCCAACAATAGGATCTAGCCAAGTGCGTATCAGGATCACCATTCGAACAGTCAGATGCAAGTTCGCTATCATCTAGTGAAATTTCACTGGCATTCTCAATACGAATGCATAGGATACCCTTCGAAAGACCTGTATTACTCAACGATAACATGATGTGATAAGGAATTTTGTCCTATCATGTACAAAGCATCCGCAAATATGCATTTTGAATCCTTAAGATTTTCCAAAAACAGAAATTATATCTTCTCAGCATTCTCTCAGTTTAGAAGTTTCACATAGTTCATGATTTCATTACTTAAATTCTTGTCTGATGTTCATATAAATGAGCATCCTACAAAAGATTCTGCATTCTCGCAATTCCGAATAAAATCCTCAGATCTCAATGTTTTTCTATCAAAAGCTTGCATCGGAAAATCTCCTTACAGCCATCTTCAGGTGTTGTTTTTAGGATCAAAAAGATCTTGGTAAAAGCTAAAAGTGACATAGATGTAAGAATCGTTGCGATATCCTTTTTTTATAGGGAACTAGGAGAAAGCTCACGAGAGAGAGAGGGCGATCTCTTCGATAACGACGATTTATTTTCTTTTTCGTTCATTTTAGTGATTCCCAATATTCCAATCGATGCCCGATGGAAGAAGAATGGGACAACCGTTGCTGGAGGCCATAGACAAGGCCAAGGGGGAAACAGCGGACTTCAAGACTTCAAAAGACTTCAAAAGACTTCAACAGACTTCAACCGCAGTGACTTCATATTTTCACAAGACTTCAAAAGAGTTCTAAAGAGTTCTGAAGACTTCATAGGACTCCAAATGACTTCACAAGACTTTATAAGACTTCGTATGACTTCATAAGACTTCATGAGACTTCATGGGACTTCAAAAGACTTCGTTAGACTTCACAGACTTCGTGAGACTTCACAGACTTCATGAGACTTCACGGATTTCATGAGACTTCAGAGACTTTGTAGGACTTCTTGAGACTTTATAAGACTTCATAAGACTTCACAAGACTTCATAAAACTTCAAGAGACTTCATGAGATTTCAAGAGACTTCATGAGACTTCATGAGACTTCAAGAGACTTCAAGAGACTTCAAGAGACTTCATGAGACTTCATGAGACTTCATGAGACTTCATTAGAATTCAAGAGACTTTATGAGACTTCATTAGACTTCATGAGACTTCATTAGACTTCATGAGACTTCATGAGACTTCACAAGACTTCACAGGACTTCAAGAGGCAGATTCCATGCGTATCAAAAAACCTTATAGAAATTACATGAAACTTCTATAACATGCAAAAAACAAAACTTATCATATAGAGATTACAAAAGTGTTTCTTGTTTCTGAGAATTGTTTCTCGCAGTATATCCATATCTAGAATAAAGATGTGACAATGACACAAAGCGTTGATGAAATTAAAACAGAGAAAATAAACTTTACTGGTATGCGTATGTTTGATTCGATTGATCCAGCATTGAAAAACTCCTATTTTCAGGTGCAAATAAAAAACAAGACTAAATTTATACACAAGCAAACGACTTGTTGGTTATTGACCGACGAAGCTAGCCGTTTATCGGCTGATAGATTATCACTCGTGATAGAAATAAACAAAAAGGAATAAAATTCTTCATAAGATTAACATCGAATAAATGAAACATTTCTTATAAAAATAAACCACTTCATTCAAAAAGCATTCAGTTCTTAACTATCATGTTTTCTAAGATCCAACAAACTTGAATTTTTTTCCAGTACCTTGACAAACAAACAATAAAAAGTTCACCTTTCTGCTAAAATAAGACCGTCGAAAACAAGACAATTTCATTGCTTTTTTATGAATTTTCATGCACTAAATGTATTTCAAAACTTCCATAAGAATTCATGAGACTTCATTAGACTTCAAGAGACTTCAAGAGACTTCAAGAGACTTCAAGAGACTTCATGAGACTTCATAAGACTTCATGAGACTTCAAGAGACTTCATGAGACTTCATTAGACTTCATGAGATTTCATTAGACTTCATGAGACTTCATTAGGCTTCACGAGACTTCGTGAGACTTCATTAGACTTCATGAGACTTCATAAGACTTTATGAGACTTCAGAAGACTTTATGAGACTTCAGAGACTTCAAGAGACTTTATGAGAATTCATGAGAATTCATAAGACTTCAACGAGACTTCAGAAGACTTCGAAAGACTTTCAAGATTTCATGGGACTTCACGACTGAAGTCTCTGCTGTTCCCCCTTGGACAAGGCAGTGCCACCAATCAACTCGACAGGCCTTACGGTCTTTTCATTGATGATGATCAAACGATGGTCATTGGTGACTGCTCGAATGGTCGTATCATGCAATGGAAGAACGATGATACGAATGGAAAAGTGATAGCTGGTGGCAATGACAAAGGAAATCGATTGGATCAATTGGATTGCCCAATCGATGTATTGATCGACAAAGAGACGGATAGTCTCATTATTTGTGATCGAGACAACAATCGACGAGTCGTACGATGGCCTCGTCGTAGTGGTACAACTCAAGGAGAAATTCTTATCGACAACATCGATTGTTATGGATTGGCCATGGATGATCAGAGATATCTCTACATCTCGGAAACTGAAGAAAAAGATGAAGTAAAACGATATCAAACAGAAGACAAGAATGGAATTCTAGTGGCTGGTGGCAATGGCAAAGGTGCTGGTCTCAATCAACTCAACTTTTCGACCTACATCTTTGTCGATCAACAACAGACTGTTTATGTGTCAGACACTGACAATCATCGTGTGATAAAATGGAATAAAGGTGCAACAGAAGGAATTGTCGTCGCTGGGAATCAAGGCCAAGGAAATGCTCTGACACAATTGTCACATCCTCACGGACTGTTCGTCGATACATTGGGTACCGTCTATGTGACAGATTCGTCGAATCATCGAGTGATGCGTTGGCCTAAAGGAGCGAATCAGGGCACTGTCATTGTAGGTGGAAATGGTATGGGAGCAGGAGCAAATCAGTTCAACTATCCCGTTGGTTTGTCCTTCGATCGACATGACAATCTCTACGTTGTTGATTGTTGGAATCATCGTGTTCAACGGTTTTCAATCGAATAAACTCATTGCGATAGATTTTTTTTCTTTCCTTTCTCTTAAATAAATCACGTTGATTGATGGAAAGAATGTCTATTCTATCTGCGCGCGCGGACCAGGAATCATCCTGGTGGAGCCATGGCGAGCGTAACGCTCATACATGCACGGGTCAGACTCAGAACATTCACATCTCTCCGACTCGAGAGATATGTCAACGAATCTGGAGAAGCCCGGTCGTGTGCCATGGACACCAAGATAGTTCCTGGCCGAATTTATAGGGCCTACCTGAAAGGCCTGTAAATAACAAGAACTAACCTCAATGGGCATAACTCAGCCTCTCTCACTAACACTCACTTTGCTCAGAGTCACCCTAACTTCTCAATCTCACTATCTGTTCTCGTCTCAAAAAAAAAAATTTACTCACTGTATTTGATGTTAGACGATGATGTTGTTGATGGTGACGACGCGATGATATTGAGGACTAAAAGGAAAGGCAAAAAAAATTTAATTAATGCTATATAATAAAAAAGAACGAGATGACTTACCCCATCTGTTACCTTTTTCTTTAAGTTTCTGTTGAAAGTTGAATTTTTGTTCGCTCTATTTTGATTGATATGATCTATTTTTCAAAAGAATTTAACAATATTTTTTCAATTCCGAATTCATTTGCCTCTTTCTTTTCTAGGATTCATTCATGAAAACTGTTCATCATTTGAATTCTTCGCCATTTATACAATCCATTCAAGAACGTAAGTTCGTCGAATATTACCTTTAATTCTTTCATTTGATTTCTATACTTTTACAATAAACGTATAACATGATTGATTTTTTTTCCGTTGTTTTATGTCTGATATCGTCCACGACTGCAATCATGGAAATAGGTATTTTCTTTCAATGATTAATCCACTTTTTGGAATAATCTTCTGACATACTGTTTTGCTTTGTAGTATGTTATCTTTTTTCCTTTACATATTGACCAGATGTGACCTAAAATAAGAGCTGATTATAAAAAGAGGAAAATAATACAATTTTATGACAAATGAATGACTCATCTTTTATATTACAGGAAAAACTTTAGGCTACTGTAGAAGTACCCGTGGAAGAAATTGATTTTAATCATTTGCCAGAAGTTGGGAAAGCTTTGGATCAATGATCAAAGACACCATCGACGCTCAATAAATCAAAATCAGCTGACAACATATAAGAAATGATTTATGCATTGCATCTGATACTATTTTTTTTGTGTAATACGATCTGAAATAAATGCTGAAATATAAAGTATTTGTGTAGCTGAAACAATGTCCCATAATCAGTAGCAGGTCCGAAGACTTCAACAGAACTGTTTGGGCTAAGATCTTCGAAAAAAAAAATTATTTGATAGAGCAAAATAGGGTTTCACCGTACTCTCCATGTGCTTCCTTCATCGCTTGTTTTCGGCGTACGGAAAGCTCGAAAGACAATTCAATGAAGGAAATTCATGGAGAGTTCGGGGACATATCATTTTGCTCTATCCAATAAAAATGCTTCCGAAAACTTTCGAATATGTAGGAGAAATCTGGTTTTCACAAATCCTCATTCAAATGATTATATTGAGGCCTTCACGTCAAGGATGTCCACCCCGACTGAAAATCTGCCGCTGCCGCGATGGTTTTCAAAAAAAATGTTTCGAATTTCACTGCTGGGACTGTATTGGATCAGAAATATTGATACTAGCTCATCAAATTCGTTCGGTCTGAATGTGTGGGTGTGGGTGTTTATATATGTGCCTTCTCCAAATCCACATTCACATTCACACTGATACCCACTCCGATACCCACAGCCACACTGGCACATATATCCATCCACCCATACCCACCCACACCTACCATCCACAGTCACGCCCAAACCTCACACCAGTACCTATGCCTACACCGCACGCCATCACCCTTGTAAAAGCAGTACAATGAATTATTGTCGAAAGAATCCTTTCCTTTTGGGATGTTCTAACAGCTTGCGACGCATTTATTGATAAGCATTTCATTGTATTATTCACTTTTATCTTTGCCCACACTCTTCTTTTTTTCTTTCTTTCCTTAGTTTTCGCGATAAAGAGAAGAAGCAAAAACAAGAACAACAACAATTACAATCCAAAGAGCCAAAAAAGGTGAATGGGGCACGTTGCTCAACCAGAAACTTATTATGTCGCTCCCAACGAACACATACCAAATTCACATTTTCCTATTCTCATTTATCGCAATGTTCTGAGACAGCAATCACTTACACCCGAATCAGTTCGACTGTTGTTCGAGTTACACAGTTGGAATGTTGCAAACGGCCAATGGATTTGGGGTGAATATGCAACACATCATTTACACTCAAATACACATGAATGCTATGGTATGTGGTAGTAGGAAGAATGAAATTCGGACAATAATGTTTAGATCAACGGTTCATATAGATGTGATCTCTGGTTCATCTCAGCTGCTGTTCAGTATTGGACCTCTCGATGCACTAGAAAAAGGTGTACAAGTGAATTGCCGTGTATCCGACAGGATCACCTCAATATGATATGCATTATGCAAAGACAGAGGAAGATGTGGCAATGTTGGCTGCACAAGCGAAGAAGGCGCTCAGGCCAATCGAAGATCCTGTTTATGGCAAAGAAGGACCGCTACTACACTTATGGAAAGAAATTTAGAGTTATGTCGTTTTCTTTTTTTTTTCATCATCAACATAATCAATTTTGCAAAGAGATATAACTAATACGAGAACTTACGTTGAAATGCTTGAAAAACATTTGATGGATCTTCGTACGTATTCCATACATACTTTTTTTTCCTAGATTTAGATCCTTCCTATATTATTTCAAGGGTGTGAGTGTGGGTGTGGGTGTTGGAATGTGGGCATGATGTTCCTCTTGCTTCATCTATACCAACACCCATACCCACAAGAAATAAATATGAATTGTATGAGATAATACAAGTGTTAATCAAAAAATTGATAACTTAAGAGGGAAGTTCCTCAAATGATTAGTCGTTTGTGAGTCGAGAAGGAAAAATATCCCTACCTTCCAGCTATCATGCAGTATAGAGTACTGCCTATCAGCAAATTCAATAATTTGATATCTTTCCTACACCATGGCAGCTTGTGAGTCAGGACAATGTGCTTCATGTAGACTTTAATGAGCTATGAAATTAGTCAAAAAGAGTTCTAGTCCTTAGTTTATTGATACTAAGATACTGTATTCTTACGGTATGTTTACTGAATGCCATAGTATCCCTCACGAATACTAGGAAAAATTATTTTCGAATTTTAATTCGAAACTACTGCACAGAGACAGACATTAATGAGTATAGTTTATTGTGAAAGTTTCAGATCTTTTTGTGGTTTCTATTCTAAGATACAGCTATGATAAAAGTTTGTCATTTACATCGTTCATATACAACACCACATTCGATGTTCTTATTTCAGGATAGAAGCAAATCAAAAGAATTAAAACTTTCATAATAAACTATTCTCGTTAAGATCTGTTTCTATGGAAAGTTTCAACTTGAAATTCGAAAATGAGTTTTTCTGGTGTTTCTGAGGGAGGGGGCTATGGCATTGACTTAAAAATACCGTGAAATTGCTCCATATTCGTAACAATAAGCTAAGATCTCCAGTTATTTTCAGGGTATTCATAGCCTATTAGGATCTACATGATGCATACAATCTTGATTCAAAAGCGATTAATCAGATGAGAGATTTTCCTTATTAGAAAAAGTTTTATCACACAGACTAATGATTTTTTTTTTAATATTTCAAAATCACTAATTATTCTGTTTCTGTCGATTTCGAGAAAAAATTGAATGTAATTTTTTCACAACTCAAGTGATGATTGGTTCTGTTCTTTGAGGCAACAGATTTTGATTTTTTGTTCATGTAATCTTTGGTTATTATGTCTCGGTATCTATGTTCACAAGATCTTTGTCAATTAAGACCCTGTTAGAAAAAAGTCAATTTCCATTAACAAGATCGAGATTGAGATAAATGCATGGGAAGATAGTCCGATATCTGATCTTTCCTATACGACATCATTTTTTATTTAATACCTCATTTTTTCCAAAAATTTTAGATGATTTCCTGCTTCAAAAAAATATAGTTTTTTCAGAGAAACCAAGAAATTATTTTCTTTTTTTTTCTTCTCTTTATTCTTTCTTGATCGTGTATTCCAGACTTCTCGGAAAAGCTTCATTGTATCCAGTTGCTATTTCTTTTTGTTTGAAAGAGCATGTAAAAGTTCTGTACTCGTTTTTTTTTCAATTAAGTTTTTTTTTATTATTACAAAAAAAGCACTTCTATAAATAGACAATCGTTTTGTTGAGAGCTTTTCTATATATTAAATTTGTTCTCCTTTTTCTCTGCATAAAAAGTAAGAATTTAAAAGAAAATGACTCTGCTATGTTCTTTGTAGTAAAAATAAAAATTAAATCTATATGTGAAGATTCACAGAAAAGTTTTTCAATTTTCAAAACTATCACAGATGAATATTAATAGTTTGAGTGAAATATTTTCTTTATAAATACTAAATAATGAAAAACAACAAATATTTATACTTTAGTCATATTTAATCGAAAATATGTTGGTGGTGTCGGAATAGGTTTTAATAATGGTGCTAAA